TGTTAAACAGGATTTCTGAGACCTGTGCCCCCGATGATCCTCATTCGAATGGTAGCACTTTGTGTTAACGGGTGTTTATCGCTTGGTGTGATGTCCTGGTGGAATAACACGTCAGTCAATCACTCAGCCCACTCTCCGCTAGACCAGACTTGTCAGGTATAGAAACGTCTTTGATGATCTACTAGTTGGTCACATGGATCCTTCAAAAAAAAAAAAAAAAATATATATATATATATATATATATATATATATATGTGTGTGTGTGTGTGTGTGTGTGTGTGTGTGTGTGTGTGACTTATAATAATAAAGTTTATCGCGTACAGAAGCATAGCAGCTAATCTGTCAGCATATTAGTTGCCACATATACTCGCATGTAATGGATAGAAAACTACAGACATTCCCCTGTCTAGTGTCCTATAAAGTATTCACACCACTATACATTGGGATCTCGGAATTCAAACATAATACGTTTAGACAGTAGTCAAATTATTATTGAAAATAATGGGATCTACATTACTCTGTTACTGGGTCCAACAGTAAAATTTGAAAATCATTTTTTTTAAAGTACTGTTACTGTAAATGACACACATATATACCGATGGATCATTGGAGGAAACAGACAAAAACGGAAGAGATGGATCGGTCATCATGCTGCAAGATGGGACTACCATAGAAACCGCATGCACCACCGGAAGACTCTTATCAATCTTCAGAGCAGTGCAGCAAGCAATTATTGATTCAGCCAAAGTGATTGAGGAAAGAAGATTAAAAACAGCAAAACTGTTTTTCCTTGTGACTGCTTGTAAATCCTCCAGGCAAATCAGAGGGATCCACGAGACAACACGGAGAGAGAACTGAACCGCCAGCTAAACAGACTCACAGAAAACAGTCAAATCATTCTCCAGTGGATCTCGGCTCACTGCGGCATACCAGAAAATGAGTTAGCCGACAAATCTACAAAAAAATGGAACAAAGAAGAAACAACGCATCCATCCATTGTCATTATCAGAAATCAGAACACTTATCAAGGGAAAATACAAGGAATTGTGGAGAGAACAAACTAACAGTAAACATCCACAAGACCCCATCAGCAAACTCGATATCAACATACAACAATTTTCCGTCTACGAATAGGACACTGCAGGCTACCACAAGCATTAAAAAAAGACTGTACAGTCCCCACTGTGTGCCTGTCAAACAGGACCACAAACACCTGAGCACAGTTTGCAGACCTGCCCACTCTACCTACAACTTCGAAAAGACACCTGGCTTCAAGATCAAAGTGTACACAGCAAGCTATGGGGAACCATGAAGGACCTGCTACTGACATGCGAGTTCATAGAGGCAACCAGCCTGATAGTCTGATCTGAGCTTACGAAACCGAACGCAAAAAAAGAACAAATAAAGATAATATGTGGAAAAAAATTAATAATTTCAAAAAAAAAAAAAAAAAAAAAAAAAACATCATATAGAAACACTGTATTTACTGAGTGAAAAAAAAAGTAGGTAAAGGTCCCTTTTTTACACTTTTAGGCGTATAGGGCATTTGGGGCTAGACCTATATTTTTATGGACCAATTGGCACAAGATGGGTGATGTAGTCAGCATCACGCTGGCCGCCTTTACTTCCTGGGACTGCACCCGGTACCCACTCAAGGCTGGGTCGACCTGCGAGTCAAGTTCATTTTTGTAAAAAAAAAGTCCGGCTCCGCCAGGGAGCGAACCCACGACTATCCCATCCTTACGCGAGCGTCTAGCCGTTACGCCAGGGCGACTCCCTGTATTTACAGAACGCTGTTAAAAATTGTGAAACAGCACATAGAAGTTGGAGGAGGAGGGGAATTTAGGGAGATTATTCTTTGGAAAATGAGTTACCTTCTATGATATCATCAGGAATCCCTTCTGACGTTTCATGTCTTTGACCACTTTAGAGGGTTTGTCATTAGTTTTGTTGAGAGCCAGCGTTTCTACATGCTTTGATGTTGGAGACCATTTTAAATTTGTCTACAATTGTAAATAATGTTATCACTGAATAACGTAAAGCACCTATTAACTAGGGCTCCTACCAAGTGCCGATTGGTCTATAAAGTCTCGCGCTATATGCTCAATACAACTGAAGGCATGGAAAAAAGTTCTATACTTTACTTTAGTTACTACCCTATAGTCTTTGATGTGCAGCCTCTTCAGATTCTTATGTTACTGTTGTGACGTCAAAAGACAGACGGTATTATATCAAATACTTAACGAAGTCTGAAGCTTGTCTATGAAGTGAAATATTTATCTACCTCTCAAGAGTTTTCTAGTTTTACACCTCGCCATAAAATATTATTTTGAGCATTGGTTCTCCGTGTGAATTCCGAGGCTTCGTTTTCAGAGGAAAGAGAATAGACCCACTAACTAAACCTCAACACATGTTCTTAAAGGCGACTATTTATGAGTTTGTTGAAATGAGGTACCAAGGGTCGAAAAGGAATGATGTCATAGTCTAGTTGTAAACAGTAAAAAAATAATGTGCCATCGGACTATGGGATATCGTGGAAGAAGAAGAAGAAGAAGCAGAAGAAGAAGAAGAAGAAGAAGAAGAAGAAGAAGAAGAAGAAGAAGAAGAAGAAGAAGAAGAAGAAGAAGAAGAAGAAGAAGAAGAAGAAGAAGAAGAAGAAGAAGAAGAAGACGGGCTTAAACGGTTTCAATCTTGTTTAGTTGCGCAGTAATAACATTAATACAATTAATAATCAAAGTCATTATTTTTATTATTAAAGCACATTTAACAACTTCTTGAGCGCCACCCTTTCCCAACCCCCACAAAAAATTATCAGGGGCGGGAATATATATGGCTGACCGACTAGAACGTATGGCTAAACGACATGCAAGCATAGCTCAACGGTTAGAACACATAGCTGAACAGCAATAACATTTGGCTGAACAGCTAGAACACATGGCTGAACGGCCAGAACACCATCTGAACGGTCAAAATACGTGGCTGAACAGCTATGAAACATGGATGAACAACCAGAACATTTGGCTGACCAGCTATGAAACATGGATGAACGACCAGACCATTTTGCTGAACAGCAAGAAAACATGGATGAACGACCAGACCATTTGGCTGAACAGATAGAAAACATGGATGAACGACGAGACCATTTGGCTGAACAGATAGAAAACATGGATGAACGACCAGACCATTTGGCTGAACAGATAGAAAACATGGATGAACGACCAGACCATTTGGCTGAACAGATAGAAAACCTGGATGAACGACCAGATCATTTGGCTGAACAGATAGAAAACATGGATGAACGACCAGAACATTTGGCTAAACAGCAAGAAAACATTGATGAACGACCAGATCATTTGGCTGAACAGATAGAAAACATGGATGAACGACCAGATCATTTGGCTGAACAGATAGAAAACATTGATGAACGACCAGAACATTTGGCTGAACAGATAGAACACATGGCTGAACAGCTAGAGCAAATGACTAAACGGTCAGAAGACATGGCTGAACGGCTAGACACATGCCTGAACGGCTAGAACATGTGTGAACGGTTAGGTGGTAGCTTCGTCGGCCAAATATGTGGGGCGGGAAGAGCCTCGGGTACACTCAGAGGCGACCACTAAACATAAGGGCAGCGGAGGAGTCAAGGAAGAAAAAAAGGACAAAAGACACACTTTTTCTTTACTGTTGCGGGCGATGCCGGGCAATTATATCTACTATATATGTGTCGGCTTCTGTGGCTTAGGCGTTGCGAACGCGCTTCGTATTGCCGAAATGCCGTGCAACAGTGGTACCGAGAGCTGACCGTTTAGAGGCATTGGCAAACTCATCATGTAGCAGGTCCTTTGCAGAACGTCACTCTCATCAGGGTCTGCCTGAAAGAAACGCAGGTTCTCGCCAGCTCTCCCGCCTCATGTACTTTCATATTTAATTAATCACTTATATCCTGTGCCTATCCTTGTGTTGATCGGCCCCTGCCCCTCCTTCCTGGTACCATACCTTCTGCTATAATTTTTTTTTCAATCTGTTGTGGCGCTTGATATGACCAAAAATTTTCCGCTTCCAAATGGCAAACTACTGAACTATAATTTGCCTTGAAAGACCACAGCCACACACACACACACACACACAAATTATACAAATGATAGGGTTGGTTCTGCAACGTCCTGTAAAGAATACGCAACTAAATTATACCAATGTGTAGATATATATAAATAACCTAATAACGACTACTTAGGGCACAAATCAGCTGCATTAAGTAAAATCATACATAAGTGCTGCAAAGCAGTAGGGACTCTGGAACTTGGCGACTGACTGTTTGGGGCTCCATTGTAAAATGATGAAGGGTGGGGAGTAGAGTTCCTGTGTTTAGAATCTTAAGGCTCGCTATTAATACCCCCCCCCCTCCCCCACTGATGCCCAACCCTGAATGCTTTAATTGTGTCGGGGCAAAACAAAAACAAAACTAAATTAGAATTGCAATAAATCGAGGTGAAAAAAACCTATAAATCAAAGACATATAATTGACTTGCGACTTCAAAAGATAGATAATTACAAAAATAAAATAAAACAGTTAATGTGAAACTCAAAAAACAACAAACAGGACGCACGCACGCACTCACACACGCACCTACTCCCGACCTACTAAATGAAAAACTCCCCATCGAAAAGAAACGTTCACCTTTCGCATTGTTTTCCTGTAGGCAGCCCTTTCTTCTCCTACAGAGGCTTAACGAGCAGGAAGCAGCGAGCAACCTGCTGCAAATGGAGCCAAATAACCAGACATACAGTACGCGAGCAGAAGTGGACTCAAAAAGTTAGCCAATAAAATAAACTCAGGGTTACGACGTGTGGAAATGCAGTCTTCATGAGACAGAAACGTGTTGACTCAGGTTATCGTGCAGCGGTAGATTTACTCCAATTTCTGTGTTTCTCTCTGGGTGAACAAAGTTAACGGTGCGTCGTGTTAGATTTCTCCAGGCAAGGATATTCCAGCAATCATGGGCAAGTTGCAGTTGTTTGAAATCAGCTTTGATCCCAGTCAGCCTGTGTTTATTGCCGGGTCAGTTGTCAGAGGGACAGTCAAGCTAGAGTTGAAGGATACGCTGAAAATGAGAGGTGAGATTTTGTTAAATTCGTCTGGATGTGTGAATGTATTTATTTAACTTTTTTTTTAAAGCGTATGTTGGTGCTTCAATTAATTACTTGAACGTGGACACACAGGATCAATCTACTTGAGCGCCCTCCCCCTCCCAAATAAAAAAGAATAGCCTAAAAGGTAAAAAGGTGGGGGGGGGGGGGGGGGGGGGGGGGGGGTTTGTAAAATCCCCAAATAATTTGGAATATTTTGTACAGGTAAAGGTAAAGTCGATAGGTTCGACTTTTGCACCGAATTTGATGCTATATGGCCCAGTCTCTCTCCACCGAACAGCCAGCTGTCTCCTGAGAGCGTCGCACAGAGCATAACCTCCGTGGCTCCGGTGATGATCCCCAACGATTTCCGTAAAAACTGCACTCAGAGAGCGAGGCAAACGGCTTGACCACTTGGCCACAGAGAACCCCTTTTTGAGACTGAGGATTTCATCAACACTTTATAGAAATCTTCTCTGAAAGTGTGTGTATTTTTTAAAAACTTTATATCTTTTTGGCTTAGGGTTATATTTATTTGCCACAGCACAATAATAATGATAATGTGTTAAATTAGCAAAAAATACAATTATTTACTTGAAACAGGTATAGATTTTTTAGGTGTAAACATCATGTCACAGGGCTATAACTCATAAGTGCTTTGTTCTACTTTTAACTCAAGTCTGAGCCTGAAGAATCTTAGCGCAGTGCACGAACTCTGTTGCACCAGTGCGGATCGTGAAATACTTTGGGTAGAATTTGAACTCTAAATTGTACCCGGGCATTATTAGAATGTGTGTAACTTACTGCTTTATTCTTCACATTTAACAAACAAAAAAAAAAAAAAAGTATTTCTCTATCAAATCGGAATGGCGTAAAGAAATATTATCATTCAGTATTGATTGATATTGCATAATATTGACTGATATTCTAAACATTGGGAAGCCGCCATGGTGTAGAGGCTGGACGCTGGCCTGCGGAGTTGAAGGTGGTGGGTTCGGGTTCTGACAGAGCCGGACTTTTAAAAAAAATAACCTCAGCTCCAAGGACGACCCAGGCTTGATTGAGTACCAGGTAGTTTCCTGTGAAATAAAGGCGGCTGGCAGGATGCTGACCACAACACCCCGGCCCCCTCCCCAAGTGCCCATTGGTCTCTGAAATATAGGTCTAGGTCTGAATGACCAGGTAACCTGAAAGCGTGGAAAATGATCCTTTACAAAAAAAAAATTGTTTTCCCGTTGCGATTTAAAAAAAGAGGACACACACAATGTATCATTCAGTTTATTATGTTATGTTATCACAGTCGACAGTTCTGTGATAAGGCAGTCACTCCAAGATAACACTACTGGCTGTTGTTACGAGAAGCTAGTCATCATGTCTCATATCTTGACAAGCAAGACATCATAGGCGTGCTTCACCAGGCTTTACTCGTAGGTCACATAATCGTGCTAGCGTCCGAGACTCATCGTTGACCACCGTGTAGCATTAATGGTGTCTGTTACTTCTGTCCAGATCCAACAGTACACTAATGTATTCTTCTTCTTCTCTACGTCCTCTTTTACCGCTTCGGGTGTCGAAGGAGACATAGGGTCCTGCTTCTTGCTCTTCTGGCTACCACGACTATAGACACATCCTTGTGCTGCAGAGTTTCTCTGATGTTATCTTCCCATAATGTTCTTGGTCTACCTCTTGCCCTCACCTCTTTTGGTATGTGTCTTGTATGGTGTAGCATCAGAAGGTATTATCTCCATATGGGCAAACCATTTGATATTCTGTCTGTGTATGCTATTAGGAATTGTTTGCGTACCGACTTTATCTCGTATCACCTCGTTCCTGATCTTATCTCTTTTTGTCACTCCTACAGTCTGTCTCAGACGTCTGATTTCCACTAATTTATTACCTTGAATCCCAATCGGGTGCATTACTATAGAATTTACATCTGCATATCTTTTTCTTGTGGATTTTTATCGTGGTATGGGACGTCGCAGGTCGACCCAGCCTCATATGGGTACCAGGATGGCTGTCATGGGAAAGTAAAGACGGCCGGCGTAATGCTGACCACATTACCCACCGAGTGCCGATTGGTCTTTAAAAATATGGGACGCTCTGCCCATATGCTGGATGCGCCGAAAAACGTGTAAAGGGATCTTTACTTTTTTTTACTTTTTATCTTTTTCTTGTGTACTACTGCTTATGCCGAAAGCGTCTCGGAGGAGTTTCCTGTATTTTACTAATCGCTTTATTTATACTCTAGTGACTTAAACACCCCCTGGACAGAGTTGCCTACACAGTTTCATTTAACCCCCAGGGGATTGAACTGCCCTCACATTTTATCTCGTACCCCCTAGTTATGGCCCCTGGTACTCCACATAGGGTGTTAGTTCCCCTAACCCACACGTGTAGCCATTATGCTTAGAAACTACAAACCCGGCTGCTGCGAGATACCAGCTAAAAGATTTTGTGTATCTGTGTAGTTTTGTTTGATTTGTATGTGCTAATGATGGCTCCATGGCCGCAACGTTCACGTTTTGTTTGTATTTGTTAAGCTTGCTAATATACTTTCCCTCGGTTTTATATCTTTTCTTGTATTTTACTAACGGCGTCGCTTCTGATGTTTTATGACACCATTTACTGATACTTCCAGTGTAGGTTTCGGCGCTCTATTATGGAGGTGGGGGGGGGGGGGAATGATTAGACCCACTGCCTCTCTAACAAGCATGTCGCTAGAGTTGAATAATTTGGGATATCCTTCAAAGTCCGAGTGCATCTGCGTGAGAGGCAAGGAACTAACAGTCTGCGTACAAAGAAGCCAGATCTGCAAAACACATGTGCATAAAAAACTCAGGTTCTGGAACAAGATTAATGTCCAGAAATGAACGGAATAGCCAGAATTTTCCGTCGGAAGTGAACGCCAAGAAGAACAATATTTACTGGTGGCAAGCTTATCATTGTTCGATCCTCGTTGACGACTATTTCTCTTCTTGTTTTCCTGCCGAATTTCTCATAGATTTATCTCAGAGTTGCCCTTTTGCATTTACGTTTTTCTAGGACTCTGCATGTCTGAATTGGTAGAACACAGCTGGTACAATAAAGGCATTTATCTGCTACTTTTACAACATTAAGCATAAAACATGCATTATTTTACAGTTTTAAAAAAATTGTCTCTTGTTACAACTTGCGCCTCACTACAAATGTATAACATTGATGACGTGATCCTTTAGTTAACACAAGGCGGAACTGACCGACCGTTTGCCACTAAATAGGCGGTAATTACAACCGGCAGAAGCATAGGAAGTTACGACGGACAATAATGCCACGTTCATTTTTTATTTATAGTATTTTGCCATGATTTGTCACCTGGAGCCGGCAGGAAATTTCTCCATTCCGTTTTATCATGTGCAATCATGGATGGAATTCAATTAAGCATATAGCTTTTCTTATCACCTGTCTCTCTAGTGTTTTTTTTTTTTAGCCGTTCTCACTTCTTCAATTCCCCCAATTGTCCCATTTCAGTCTGGTTTACAAGTTTCTTCAGCAAAAATTTTTTTTAATGAGGCGGAGAAGCTGGCCCCACGCCCCCCCCCCCCCTTACTCCCTCTTTTCTGTCTCTTTCGGGACCGGCAATTGCGGAGATAAACCCACCTTACGTAATAAACAAAATGAGTTAAAACGACACACGTAGTGTTGATCAAACCATTATTCATCAAGTGCCGAAAGGTCTAGTAAAATATTGGTCTAGCACCAAATCATTACCGACTTACAGTATTATGGGCCCCTGGGCAAACCCGTGTACTGAGACCCCTACGACAGCCAGTCGCGGCAATGGAATGAACATTATAGTTAATATTAAACATACAAACAGATTAGTCTAGGGCCTGTTTGTTTGTGGGGCCTCTTTGCTCGTGAACCCCCCGGACAGGTGCCCAGCAGGCTCACGCGTTAAGACAGCCCTGCACCATTTACCAAATGGGCCGGTGGCCTACAATGGGTACCAACCTATCCCTAAGTTTATCGAATTTACAAGAGCTCCGATGCAGACTTGAATAACATTACAACTTCAACTATGATGCACGTAACCACTTCAGTGAAAGTGTTATAAGACTGGCGGTGCTTGCGATTTTAAAGCGAGCCAGATAATTTAATGGACTGGGCTTTGAAAATCTATGAGCCTTAATTCGCAGATAAGTGCTTTTAGTGTGTGTGAGTGTGTATGTGTGTGTGTGTGAATAGATAGTTTTGTGTATGCATTTCTATATGTGTCTTTATGAAAATGTGCGTGTGTCTGTCTGTGAACATGTGCATGTGTGTGTGTGTTTGTGTGTAAACGCATATGTTTGTGTAGTTGAGTGGGTGTGGGACTAGTATTTTGGCATCATTTCCGTTTTTTTCCCCAGACAACAATGTTCCGCTGTGCTATAGGCAGGCCTGCGAACAGGGGCGGCGATATTGGGACCTCAAGGCCTACCGCTCCCCACCACCAGCTATTCTTATTCTTCTCATTTTTCTGCCTTCTATCCGACAATGGAGCACAGGCGCTCAATGAAGTCGTTCTGTCCTTGGCTATTGTATGCAGATCAGTCCATTTTCTCTCCACTTTTGTAACTTTACTCTCTAGCTGCATTCTCCGTGTGTGTGTGTGTGTGTGTGCGTGCGTGCGTGCGTGCGTGCGTGCGTGCGTACGTGTGTGTGTGTGTGTGTTTGTTTTTTGTCTGCCCTTATTTATATGCCCCTTTGGGTCCAGTGTACAGACATTCTAATTATATTCTTTTCATGTTTACATGTGTCCTATCTAACCCCAGCGTCTTTTCTTTCACCTCTTGGTCCACTGGAACTAGTTACCTCCCAAAGCTCAACATTGTGCAGACACCAGTTAGTAATGTTTTAGTTAGCTGAAGTAGCTGAAAGACACCCCACCCCATCACACTCCTATCCATTCATAATTTTGTTAGAAGGCTAAACACATCCTTTACCCAGGATATACATGCTATTTA